CACCTACATCTGCCCCCTCGCCAAACTATGGCTTGGACCCAGGCCATGCAGCATGTGCTAGGAACTGCTCCTTAGACATCATAGAATGCTCTCTCGAGGGTTCCCTATACTGCAGTTATAGTACCTGCATAGGATCGTATAAGTCAATCATGATGCGTTGAGTATCCACCATCCAATACCAGTTGTAATTATAGACCTCCCTCTGAAATGGGTCAAAACCATGGGGGCCTACAAGTTCAGAACCAGAAGCACCGCCAACATCAGTATTAGTGCTAAATGTCTATCCTTTCAACCTTTTGGTTTGCAAAACTTGTCCACATATCGATCATCAATTGCAACAGGAATCATCACCTGACGGCGAGAGTGTAATTTCACCATCGCAGCACACATAATACCATAATTAAACAGGGAAAGACTAAGGGATAATTCTTCCTTGAAGCTGAACCAAGCCCGCTTTCCACCACTGTACGCATCTTATCTACAATGATTTGAGCCACATCAATCTGCACATTGGTTAGTATACTATGGACGACGTGAGAAATAGGGATTGGCACAGTAGAGGTGTGTGACTTTGGCTTTATATTAGTCAAAACCAACAACAGAATAAGTTGAGCCAAAGGACACATGTCCTCTCTGTGATACCTACGAGGAACCCTAGACGGGTTCAATTCAACTGACTTTCCCTCAAGCAAAAAGTTACGAGAAATTGCATATGTATCTATATGCAACCTCAAAATATGGTGATATGCATCTATCTCATTCTCCTTCAAAGATATAGGATTACCTAAACCAGTGTTGATGGTGTCACGATCAAATTTTACCTCCCTTCCGCCAACCATGGTAATCCATGTGAACAACTCATCATCATTTGGGAGTGCATTAGTGTAGAAATCTCTCACGAGCTCTATGTTGTAGCTATCACTCGATGTGATCAATCTATCCCATTTTTTGCTTCCAAGGATTCTCGCTACCGCCCGGTAGGATCCTTGGGGGTTGAGGTTGAAATGCTTCTCAGGTAGGATGCTTCTCTTCTCTAGTGTTAGGTAACGAACAACTTGTTTTGCTCCTATGAATTTGTCAAGGTCAAACTGGATTGGGGTTGGACGTGATGAGCTTCCGACCTTTCGCTTCTTGGACGGAACAGTCTTAGGAGGTGCCATCTGCATAATCACCAAACAAAACCAACCATCCAATACACAATTTATATTAGCGAGGAAACAAAATAAAGAGAATCAGAACAAGAATTCAGCATTACTAAATTTTTTGAAAAGTCTATCATGTTCGCCCACAAGTTCGCTAGGCGAAGCCGTGGCGAATACTCACCCCAGGTTTGTTGTGCGAACTCATGGCGAACCCTGTGAGTTCACATTCTGCAGGTTCTACCTATAAGTTTAAATGCACAAAGTTTTTTTCCAATTACACATTCTATTTCAACTATGGTAAAACCCACATGCACTGTAAAAGAAATCACAAAAACAGAACATACATTGAGTCTATGCAACCTAGAATCAAGTTTTGTTTAAGTTCCACAACCAACCCTAACCATATGTTACTAAGAAGAATCAAAGGAGAGAATAAAAAAAATCAAACCTGTTATGCTGATAGGATTAGTTTTTAAAAATTAGCAAGAAGTTGCAAAAGCTCCAATTTGTGCGTGAGATGTTTGTGAGAGTGAGAGAGGCAAGATTTTATGAAGTGAGAGTGACAAAGTGAGATGGGGTAGGGTTTACCCTCAACAAATATGAGGATGGGGTATTGGGCCCAAGCATATGTGGCCCACCCAATATTTCTCACTTTTTAAGTGATATGGCAGCTGACTTAAAATGTTTATCTCGCTCAGTTTTCTGTGTAAACTTGCCAGCGAATGCTCACTTCAGGTTCGCCGTGCAAACTTCCCAGCAAAGATGACAGAATTTTGAAAAATTTTAGTTCTCTATTCATCATATCCTACCAAAGTCATTCTAAACATACCTATACTATACAAACAGTAATAAAGCAAGAATACTTACAATGTTGGGGTGCCTTTTAACTAGCACTTTGTTTAACGTCGTTTGAGCTCGACGGTCCAATACGACCTCAAGGATTGCGAAAAGGCACTGTTGCGGTATTCTGCTCGAAACCACCACCAAGATAAATCTTCAGCCTCCGACCATTTGCAGTCCAACTCTCCTTTGACTGTGTGTCTTCAATGACAATCGCCCCATAGTGCTTGATCTCCCTAATCCGAAATAGACCGGACCACTTAGATTTCAACTTTCTAGGGAACAATTTTAATCGAGAATTGAAAAGTAGGACCAGATGCCCTATCTCAGACTGTTTGGTTACTATATTTTTATCATGATAAGTTTTCACTCAATCTTTGTACAGCTTATTGGAGTCATATGCTTGGAGGCGCAATTCTCCATTTCATGCAATTGTACCTTTCTTTTATCTCCACTTAGACTTAGATCGAAATTCAAAATTTTTAAGGCCTATAATGTCTTATGTTCCAACTCCACGACAAATGACAATTCTTACCATAGACCATCTTGAAAGGTGTAAGACCAATCGGAGCCTTGAAAGATGTCTGATAGACCCACAAAGCATCACCGAACTTGTTTGACCAATCTTTTCTAGAAGCAGACACCATTTTCTCCAGAATCCTTTTAATTTCTCGATTTGATGCCTCCGCTTTCCCATTAGCCTATGGATGGTATGGTGTTGCAACTTTGTGCTTTACACCATACTGCTCCGAGGCTTTTTCTAGCTGAATGTTGCAAAAGTGGGATCCTCCATCTTTTATCAACACTCTTGGAGTACCAAATCGAGAAAAATGTTTTTCTTTAAAAATCGTATCATAGTTTTTCCATCCGCTTTAGTACATGCTATTGCTTTAATCCACTTGGATACATAGACAACTGCGATCAAAATGTACTCATTAGAAACGATGATGGAAATAGACCTACATAGTCTATTTCCCAATAATCAAACACCTCAACTTCCAACATGTTTTGTAACGGAATTTCATTCCATTTTGAAGTTCCACCACTCCTTTGACACTTGTCACAACTTTGTGTATGCACATGCGTATTTTTGAACAAAGAAGGCCAATAAAAGCCTGATTGTAGGACTTTCATTGTCGTCCTCAAACCGTTAAAATGTCCTCCATACGAAGAGTTATGACAATGCCAAAGTATGTTATTGGCCTCTTCTTTTGACACACACCTTCTCAAAATGTTATCAACAACAAGCTTAAACAAATATGGTTCATCCCAAACAAAATACTTGGCGTCAGATAAAAATTTCTTTTTCTGGTACGAGTTAGACCATCCGGTATTAATCTGGCGGCCTTGTGATTTTTCATGTCTGCAAACCAAGGTCTAACTTGCACCACATATAACTTTTCATCAGGAAATTTTTCCTTTACCTCTCTTTCATTCTTGGTCACCTCAACATTAACAAGGCAGGATAAGTGATCCGTCACCAAATTCTCGGATCCCTTTTTGTCACAAATTTCTAAATCAAACTCTTGCAACAAAAGGACTAAACAAATTAGCCTTTGCTTTGAATCCGGCTTGGTAAGCAAATACTTAATCTTCGCATGATCCGTGTAAACCACAACTCTAGGCCCAATTAAATATGACCGAAATTTCTCTAATGCATACACTATCACAAGCAACTCTTTTTTTGTTGTTGCATAATTTACTTGAGCTCCATTCAAGATTTTGCTTGTGTAGTGTATAGCATGAAAAAATTGTGTTCTCCGTTGACCCAATACTGCACCTACCGCATAACCACTCACGTCACACATAAGTTCAAAATCCATTTTCAAATTTAGAGCGATTATTATGGGTACGGTAGTCAAAATTTATTTTAAAGAATTAAAAGCAATCATGCAAGACTCATCAAATTCAAAAGACTGATCTTTGTTGAGAAAATTTCTCAAAGGCTTTGCGATATTTGTGAAATATTTGATGAACCTCTGATAAAACCCTGCATGACTAAGGAAGCTCCTTATACCCTTTACATTCAACGATGGTGGAAATTTTTCAATAACGCCCACCTTGGCTTGATCAACTTCGAGGCCTTTTGAAGAAACTTTGTGACCGAGCACAATTCCATCGGTTACCATGAAATTGCATTTCTCCCAATTAAGCACCAAGTTGGTTTCCATACACCTTTCTAATACCACATCCAAGTTTTTCAAACAAAGATCAAACGATGGTATAAAAACTGAGAAGTCATCCATAAAAACCTCAATTGACTTTTCAATCAAGTATGAAAATATTGCTTGCATACACCGTTGAAAAGTCGTCAGCGCATTACACAACCCAAACGACATCCTTCTATAAGCGAAGATTCCAAAAGGGCAAGTGAAAGTTGTTTTCTCATGGTTCTCCGAGTTCACAATAATTTGATTGGAGAAAACTCAAGCTTGAGTTGAATTATATGCTGTTGAGGGAGGATATTGGATGTGTCACAGGATTTGAAATCTCAAACTGAGAAAATTTAACTTCAACTTTAAAAACTAGCAAAATTTAAAGAGAGAAGGAAACATTTTTTCTTTGTTGATTTTTTTTTTTTGCAGATTCAACCTATTAATATTGATTTAGATGCAAGTTGTGAGGGATAAGTGGCTATATGAGGAATTTATTTCCATGCTTTATGCTTCCTTGGGTATTTTTTAATAGTCAGTTACAAGTCAGACATCGTGATTAATATTTGGCAATGTAAATTACGTCCATATGATCCTCACTACACATCTAAATATGTCAATTTACATTTGATCCTTCCAATTTTCTGTTTTATTCCTATGTCTTACTACATTTAATTGTGTGTATAAATTGCAGCTCTTCACAACAATCATTGTTAATGAGGCAGCTCCTGGCCTCAAGACTATTCTTAACTTTAGAGTTCCAGAACAAAGGTTTGGAAAGGTGAGATAAGTCATTCGTTTTGCATAAAATTACTCGAGTCTATGGAAGAAAGCACAAATCACTAATTTGAGGGACAAACTTTTGATGAAACATGTAGAAGTTAAGTACTTGCATGACTATGTAGGAGTTTTTGCCAATGTTGGTTTGACAGCAAACTCAATTGTCAACCTCTCTGGTGTTATTGGAACTAATGTAATTGCTCTCGACCATGATCTTTCTTACGACACTAAAACTAGCAAATTGACTAAGTTTAATATGGGTTTGAACTTCACAAAAGAAGATTTGGTTGCTTCATTGGTTCTGTAAGAAAATCGCATCCCTTTTTATTTGGTGGTTTCTAATTGAAGTTTCATTTATTTCTATCTAATTTATAAAAGTTACATGCATTGACTGACACATACATGGACACATTCCCTGAGCACAACTTTGACTCTTTAGATATATAGTCTGTTTATAAAATCTTCTTCTCAAGTCTTTGTTTAAAATGATTGAATTACGTGTTGTAAATTTATGCAGGAATGAAAAAGCTAATGTCTTGAATGTTTCATACTACCATGTAGTCAACCCCTTTACCAAAATAGTTATTGATGTTGAGGTAACTCACCGATTCTCGATCAAAGAAAACACATTCACACTTGGAACTCAGCATGCATTAGATCCATCGATGGAGTAAGGGGACCAAGAATGAGAATAACCTGTTTGTTACCATATTCAGCACAACTCAAAATGTTAACACTGAATCAAGGAAATAACAATGTAAAGAAAAAATGTTACATTGTTGTCACAGTGAGAATTGGATATCAAGCTATTGATTAACTTGAATCACAAATCATTATTCACCACCGGTCTTTAATTTGTCCAAGGGAAGGGAAAAAGATCGAATTATCCAAAAGTATGCAATGCAATTGCAAAGCTAGAGAGTCTAAGATTCGGGGGTAGGGGGGAAGGTGTTAGCATCCTAAGCATCTGTAGTACTCTACAGGAACCTCTTGTTTTATTGTGTTTATGGTTGTTTTGCTAAAGGGTAAAAAAACCTAGGGGGTTTATTTCTAAGTATACTCGCCAAGAAATTGCATCTTGTGCCTACGTATCTTGACGGGAGTGGAATCAGAGTATTCGTAGTTCCCCTAAAGGGGCGAGGAACCATTGACTGTAGTCAAAGTTCCAGGGAGATAAAGGTTTGTTGATTGATTCTAAGAGAAGAGACAAGTCTTCATCTTAGAGAGAATACTCGACTTAAACCAGCACAAATATATGGAAGTCGGTCTTTACTTCACATTGAGATAAGGGTCCAACTCGGATCTATAACCGACGAGTATGCCACATACCTCTCTCAAGCGGAAAACATTCTTCGTCTTTTTTTACTATGTTATGATATAGGAGAATTATATCTCGAATACATAGATGAATCATGTCTAATTCTCTTGTGAGAATAGGGGATTGAATTGAATTGTAAGTTGTCTAAGTGTTGAAAACTTAAGGGGATCCTATGTTAAGGATACAAGGGTAGACTTAAGCTGATCAACCTGAAAAGTCAGGGATCGAGCGGGGGAAATGATGCAAATGAAAACGCAATGTGTACGACTTATGAGGTCATACACAGGTTCTTTCCTTGGACGTAGGCACATGAAATATATTACTATAAAGAACACAGACAGTAGCGTCAAGCATCAGAGTAAAATGATATAACAACACTTAAAGTGAAAATCCAAAACTTCATGGTGTGCTAACCATGTTGAATGTTTCCTTCGAGCTTTGAAATGATTCACGAACTCAAATCAAAATGAAATAAATCGAAAACTTGATCGTGAGTTCGAAAGAGAAGAGGGTACGAATCTCACACCACAAATTAAATATATTAAGTTGATGTTTTAAATAAATAAAATGCAAAAAAACACAATGTATTGGATTTATAAAAAAAATGATCATAAAAAAAACCTAAATAAAAGGGGTGGGCTCACAAAAAGCCCAAAAGAAAGTTCATAAACACGGGCCGGATTTTTAACCGAAATGACCCAGCCAAAGTATATACGACTGGAAACAGGTAGGTGTAGGTCATCATAAGTTGTTCTTCCTCTTTCGCTCACCCTCCTTGCTCGCAGTTCACAAATTCACCCTTCGAAATTCTCTAATATTCCTCCAAGTAGGGGTGAGCAGAACCCAACCCAACCCGAAGACCCGTCCCAACCCAATATAGGTGGGATGGGTTTGGGTTGACCCTTGGGTTACCCAACCCGTCCTAATATTATGAATGGACATGTGATACTATTTATTTATTTATTTAACTTATTGGTATATTTAGACTATTCCAAATTTTCAATAGACTTTTCCACTTTTCACCTCATAATTTAATATATGCACTAAGTAAATACTAAGTACACATCTATTATCTTACATCATGTTTTTTATTTTACATCTTACTATGTTTTAGGGGAAAAAAGGTGATGACATATTATCGAGATTTTTACGGGTTTAGGTACGGACGGGTTAGGGTCATTAAAATAACCCGATCAAAATTTAAGACAGGGTTAGGGTTAGTCATAACCCATCCCGACCCGTCCCTTTCTCACCCCTACCTCTAAGTTCCTCATGTACAATCTCATATTCGTCTCACCCGACCGAAACCCCAGATCAGAAGCTCGAGATCAATCTGGTCTCACCGATTTTAAGTGCGGCGCACGAAAACAAAAAAGAGAGAGGAAAAGAGGAAGCACATGGGATTCAAGGTATGAATTGAATCCCTGATTCTCGATGCCTGTACTTGATTGATGTTGTTGCAAAGTCGAAATGGTTGACCCTTTTTTTGTGTGTCACCACTGTTATGCCTCTGTACGTACGGGTTTTCGTCTTTTCGATGCCCTTCCGTAAAACCGCGTGTAATTCCGTATCAAATTCTTCTTCAAATCTATGAACTTCTATGAATCAGAAGTAATGTTTCGTGTCTTTGATTTCTTGACTATTGCCCTTTTATAGGGGTTTTGGGTAGACAAAGAAATGCTAATTTGGAATGGAATTGAAATTGTCTTGGACGTGTTTGAGACTTGTTTCGGAGAAATGATAGCCTTTATGTTTCTGTCTGAACATGTTTGTGACATGTTTATTGTGACTTGATGAATTTCCTTTTTTTAAATTGAACAGGTCAGATTTTGGTTTTTACTCACGTTGGGATCCGATGACTTTATTACAGCTATGTGGATGAGCAAGTTCGACATGATAAGAGTCCACTTGCAAGATCTGATGACTTTACTCACGTATTTAGTTTTTTACTATTGAAACTCATCTTACCATGTTTTGCGGTTGTGTTGTAAACAGGTGATGGGTAACCTGGTTCCTTGAGAAGTTTCAATGTGTCCAGATTCTTAGATTGTGGTCGGATGCTCAGCAACATGATACCTTCAGATATGTACTAGAATATGTCTGTCCAACACTTAGTTCCTATATTCCTTTGTGCCATTACTTTATGGTTTTAATGTCTGTAATTCTTTCATGTATAAAGGGTTAGGATTATAAATTATGAACTTTAATGTCATGCTTTTGGCCGACCCACATGGCAACTTGTAGCGACTTCTTGTAGCTTTTGTTCTTCTTGTTTTGGCAAAAGGTTTTGTTTATGTAGGAACAAGATTATGAAGATGAAAGCTTGGATGCGGCATGTAGCGAGGAGTTTAGGACTTAAACTTTGTGAATTAGGAAAATTGTGGGGTTCATGTATGACGCGCACCTTATGTAATATCTTTCATTTGAAACTTTGTTATGAAGTTAAATTAGTCTTGACTTGTAAAGAGAAAAGACTACTATATTAACTTGTACACCTTGAGTTTCTTGAGATTAACTTGAGCTTAACTTGCATTTATCTTGCATTTTGTAATCTTGTTAGGAAAAAAAATTCTTGGAAAGTAACTTTGGATTTTGTAATCTTGTTAGGAAAAAAAATTCTTGGAAAGTAAGTTTGGATGTTAGGATTGCCTGAGTGGTCTTGGATTTATGCTAGCAATCCTTATTTCACATAAGCCCGTTGGTGAAATATGCAAACGCATCTCATTCACCAATTTAATTTGGACGGGTGAGGTTTTAACTCAAGGGACTTAATACTTCTTAGGTTTAAACTTTGTTAGATGGAGTTGTTATGTGAGGCCTCATCAGTCTAGAATTCCAAGATCTTAAAGTGTGAAAACATTGGAAGTTTGTAGGCTTGATCCAAAATTTATTCTACAAGTGCTTCGTCTAATTTAACCGTTTTGAAGTTTAACCTAGTAAGGACAATCGTCTTGTGCTCCAAAAATGAATATGAACTTCTTACGAATCTTGTGTTATGGGAATTGTAGCTAAATGAATCCTCGTTCATGACGTCTTGAATATTGATTATTGAAGTTATTTTACACAGACTAAACTATTTTGAGTTTCTATCCCACTTGTAAGAATCGGAATTTCAACGGGTCTGATAACTTGGTTTCCTTAAGTTTGGATGTTCTCCACCTTGGGGCCTGGTTATGAAATTTTGATAAAACTTCGTTCTGGATGATGGATTTTCAAGGTGAAACTAGAATCAAATTCCTTAGGATCCTTAAATCAGTATGGTTATACCCTGGATGCTAGACTGTGAGGACTAGTGTCGTATATACTTGGAATTGATGTACCTGCGCGCACTCGTTAGTCAAGATAAACACGCACACAAAGCTTATGTCCTGAAGATATTATGTAAGAAGATGCACGAGAAGGTGAGATCTTAGGTTCAAAAATTAGGGTGTGACAACTGTATAATGGCTTATTAAAAAACAACCCGATATGATAAACCATTGTGGACTTGTGAAGCTATAAATTCTTAATGGTATATTGGTTTATTATATGAAATAAATACATTTAAAAAATTAAGATTCTTCATTCTATTCTAAGTCAACTATTATTGCTCAAATAGTTTTTTTTAAATGAAACAAGATTGTAAGATTCATTACATCAACTACTGTAACATTAGACTAATGAAATAAGATTGACTTTTGTCTTGAATTAGTGATTTGCATTTTACTGGAAAAAACTTTGATCTATACATTTTGTTAACCAGTTCATCATGTTATATTGCTTCTTCTTTTTTTACTTTATTGGATTATAATGATTATACACTATTTTATAGTTAGGTCAATATAATATTTAAGAACTCAACTGTGTACCTAATACATGTTAACTACATGTTCTAGAGATGTATTTGAATGAAAATATTAAAAATTTAACAATTACAAAAAAAAATCAATTGAGTTTATACTATTGTTACTCATTTACACTTAAATACTCATTCCAAATTAAAGGTGTATCTAAATATATTGTAACAACTCATTTTATTTATACAACTAAATCTTAATAGTTTTGATGTATACACTAATAAATTTACCCGTGCGGACGCACATGTATCCTACTAGTACATCATTTTATTCTAATCTAAATATTTCATCTTTCTAACATCCTTAACTTCGATTTTCCAATGTCCATCAGGTAAACTAGCATTTTTTGCTATTTTTCTATTCCAAACAAATCTTACATGTGACTTCCTTGTAATTGCACAATGTGATTGCAGATGTTTTGGCATAGTATCATAAACTTTCCACCAAACCTCATTAGCTGAATCACTAGCATATATATGATGATCTTGCAAATTCCAATTACAGTCATAATCTCTATAAC